TCTTTCGCTTAACAATAATAAACTTGAAAAAAAAGTCCTCAATGATGTCCAGTTTTTTGAAGGCAAGAAGCTAAACTCTTCATTGTGACATTTAAGACCTTCAAAGATCTGAACCCAGCCTGCGTGGGTGAACTGACTGTTGCTGATCCCACCGTATAAATGTATTACCATTCCCACAAACCCTTCATTCATTTCCAATCTCTATATAGGATTGATGTGGACTCTGCAAAATGGGTGCATTTAAAACTAGTGAACTATCCAATCCTAGAAACCCAGCAAGATATTCTCCTCTAATTTAAGCTTTCTTCAACTACTTTTTGTCTCTCAGCATGAAGAGAAAATCCCTTGTTCATTAGGGTCCCGACACACAACTTTATATGTGCTGACTTTGTGCATCTCTTATACTGTGTACATGATTGTGCAAGGTAGCACTCCTTCCATGTCTTAGAAAGCAGGAGAAACCAGCACGAGGACAAACCCATGCTGCCGTGTGAACTTCCCCAGACACTCACATAGATATAGGGCCTTCAGAGGGCCATAGAACATTTTGCAACAAAAACAAGTCCACCTCTAGTCCCCTGTACTTCTCACCCTACCGACTTCAGGGCCTCTCTTTTCCCCCAAGTCCCCACCAGCCCCTTTTACTTCCTGCCCAGGCCTGGTATCACCCAAGTTCCGGGCCTGGACTTGCTGAGGAGATCCAAACCCTTCTTCCCAGGTACCTCTCTAACCCAGTGGCAACTTGGCCTCCTGAAAGATGAGATGCATTTGAGCGACTTGGCTCCTCAGCATAGCTGATGGTTTCCAACTGCTAAGGACTCTCTGTTCATTTGGAATTGGCCTGAATAGTCTCACGTAGCTAGAACCTAGTCATTGTCACTAAACTCAAGATATCAGAGAAAATGCTGACTGGAAATTCTTGTCTTTTTTTTTTCTTTTTTAAAAATATAGAACCTCTGAGCTGTCGGGGTGGCTCAGTTGGTTGTGTCTGACTCTTGGTTTCAGCTCAGGTCATGATCTCATGGGTTCGTGAGATCAAGCCCCTCGTCAGGCTTTGCACTGACAGCATGGATGCTGCGTGGGGTTTTCTCTCTCTCTCTCTCTCTCTCTCTCTCTCTCTCTGCCCCCCCTACTCATGCTTGCTCATTCTCTCTCAAAATAAATAAATTTTAAAAAATTTAAAATACAGAATCTCTAATAAATAGCACCCTTTCCCCGCCAAGCTGAGAGGCAAATGGAACCAATGCAGACGAGTTGTCTTGTTTTCTGCACAGTTAAGAAATAGGGAATTCAATGTGTATTTACAACGATAGCAAAGTTAAAATAGCTCATACTATGTTGCCAAATGAAGGATAACAGAGATATAAACACTGTCTTTAAAAAGATTCTTTTAGAAGAAAAGTATGAATTGAATCATTTACTGAAGTACTGTTTGAACAGATGGTGTGATTAACAGCTAACATGTAAGCCATCTTGGGAGCTTATGGAAAAGTAAACAAGTGGAGCTAAAAAGAAATCACTTTATTCCCCAAAAGGTTCTTTCATTCATTTTACTAGGAAAATTGGAAAGTCTGTGTTTAGAAGCTCTGTTTCCTTGGGGGTTTGTCAGGAGTGAGCAGGGAGGAGAGTCTCTTCAGAGTAAGAGCACACTGATGCAGGACTGAGCTCCAAATTTGTCTCCTGAAGGATGAGACGGGTCTGAGCAGCCGAGACCCTCTACACAGCTGACCCTTCCCAAGCACGAAAGACACTCTTCATCTCTGCATGTCCTGAAAGGCCTCATGTGCCCGGGTAGAGGAGAAGGGAGTCAGGAGCTGGGAATCAGCTATGTAACAGGCACTCCGCTAGGAACATTCCAAGCACTGTTTCCTCTAAGGCTAGCTCACCATGGCCCCGGGAGTCACACGTTATAAGGCTGATTTTCCCAGTGGGGAAACTGAGGTGGGGAAAGGGGAAGATATCTCCCAGAGCCCACGTGGTCATGTCCTTGGTGGAGCTGCCCTTGAAACGCTGGCTGTTGACCTTCAGGCTTTAGGAGAGGCAGCTGATTGCAGAGGGAAGAGCACTGACCATGTCTGGAGGCACGGGTGTGAAAGGGTCCTCTGCTAGCTAGTGCCTCAGGGACAGCAGCTGTTGCCTTCTGTGCCCCAGTTTCTCCATGTTTAAAATGTAGGAGTGGCACCACATGGGCTCCAAGGTCCTCGTTCGGGTCTGAAAATGGTATCAGCATATCAATCCAGCTGGCTTCCCCAGCCCCATCGTTCCTGGTCATCGTCAACTGAAATACAGAAAGAGTCCTTACACAGGGGGGCAGCTCTAGCTATGGTGCCACCTACGTAGGCAAATCTCCAAGGAATCGGCTGACCCTTGGCAGAGCTCTCTCTCCACTGCCTTACCTTAGCGTTACCGTATCCACTTAGTGTTGTCCTAGTGTTTTCATCTGACTAATGTTTACTGAGTGTGTAGTAATGCTCCAAACACTGCGCTAGGCACTGTGGAAACAACTGGGAGCAAGGACACAGTGTCTTTCTTCCTAAAATTAGGCCTTGTGGGGGAGATACAGAAGCAAACAGATAGGTAAAACACCGAAGGATAAGTGTGGGCATAAGAAAAGGGAACCAGAGTTCTACCTGAGGAGTCAGACTATGTTACCTTGAGGTAATGATGTGGACATCAGATTAAACTTTTTGTCAACCATCCAGATATTTAGAATCACCCAGGTGACTGCTGCAGATTTGCTTGGCTTATTATCCTGGCACTTGGTAGCACTGAGATGAAAATGTTGGATTCCCATGCCATTTAAGGCCATGCCAGGAAGGTAATGAAATATTTTGTTTCCAAAGTTCTAGAGACTTAATTAAGGAGGAAAGCAACTTTAGTGTTAGTAGTCTGGAAATAAACTCCTTCTCTTGGGCATGTTCCTGTAAATACTTCTGAACTCTTTCATGTGAACGGCCTTCTAATTGCCTCTCTGGGACCTAATCCTGGAGGCTTTGAAATGGTTTCCCTTTGCAACTTTGAAACCTTTGATACTGTGTCCCCTGGCAGGTGTGATTCCACCTCTGTCCCTGACCTTTTCTAATAATTGGACTTTGGGAGTGTTCCTCTCCCCATTTAGTAAAGTTGCTGCTGCTTTTGAGTTACATTTGGAATTAACTTCAGGGCTCTGCTAAATGAAAGGAAAGCATATGTGTTCATATGTGATACTGTTCATTCAGCCCAAGGATTCTTTCATGTCAACAGAAGAAAGAAACTCCTATAACCCCTCAAGTACCTGTCTGCCAGGACACTTACTACTCTGCACCTCACCTTAAAGACAGCTGTCTCAAAATATTACCCCTCATCTCATCACTCGACTGTGAGTTTCTACAAGCAATAACAGTACTTTTGTTGTCCTTAGATGCTATGTGCCTAGAGCCAATGCCTCGTATGTAGATGTTGTTCAATATTTGGCCAAACTCCAAATTTCCAATGTTGCTTTATTGATTTCTCAGTACTGTTTTATTGTCACATAAAGCCTGCCATAATTCATTCCCAAAGTCAGCCATCGTGCTATCTTACATAGCAATATTGTTTCATTATTTTGACAGGTGCTAAAATTAGACTCTAAACTTCTTAACTCAGAGTTAATGTTTTCTAAACATTATATTCATCTCCAGTAATTTTCATAACAGCTAACTTCTAGTCTTATGGATCACTTGCTTCTCCTGGAGGAGAAAGAAATGGTATAATCTGTTCTTTAAATTACCATGCTGGACTGCTCGTTAGGCTACAGTTGAATCGAGGGCCAACAAGTATAAATAAAGGATTTTAATAATTCCTTATAAGTTTACCAATAATTTATTATTACAGTTATTCCATTTAGTTTCCATGAAAAGCTTTATGTTAACTTGCTTATTGGAAAAAAATCAAATATTCACCATGATTTTTATGGACTTTATATTGACCATAAGAAACTAAACATACCTGAAATCATAGAGCTAGAAGAGTCCTGAACAATTGTTTAGTGCCATGAGAAAATGCTTGAGTGGGAAAGCAGTTCACATTTTGTATAGCTGACATCATGACTATGAAAATAGCATAGGAACAGGGAAAGAGCCCAAATTCTGTTAATGGTCACAACTAAACAGTGGAATTCTCTGTGGTTTTGTTCAGTTACCTATGGTTTTCTATGGCTTCCATGTTTTCTCTACTGATTGGAGAAAATGTTGATTAGGAACAATAATTGTCCATAGTGAGATCCATTTGCTTTATAGAAGAGGAACCTAAAGTTCAGCATGTTCTAGCAAAACCAGGACAAGAAATTTAGCCTCAGCACTTTTAGACTAAGTTGTTCTTTGAATTAAGATTTGAGGAAGATGTGGATTTATTTATAATTTCCAAGCTCTATTGAGATATAACTGACCTACCACATGGTCTAAATTTATGGTCTGCAATTTGATGATTTTATACACTTATATACTGCAAAATGATTACCACTATAGCATTAGCTAACATCTCCCTTGTGTCACCTAATTACCATTTCTTTTTTGCAGTGGGAACATTTAAGATCTTACTCTATTATCAACTTTCAAATATATACATAGTATTATTAACCATAATCACTGCACTGTACATTAGGTCCCCAGAACATATTCATCTTATGAGTGGCAATTTGTACCCTTTGACCAACATATCCCCATTTCCCCCACCCACCACCTCCTAGTAACCATGGTTCTACTTTCTGGTTGTATGAGTTTAATTTTTTTTAGGTTCCACATATAAGTGAGATAATAAAGTATTTGTCTTTTTCTGTCTATTCCTATAGAATTTCATGTTCTAATTAATCTAAACTTTGGGTGAAATAAGAATTCTGTGCATTTTAAAAAATGTAGCTGTCAATCTAAATTCAAGCGGGACATGAACAATGAATATGCCTACTTGGTTTCCTCCTTTTAGACATTTGCACTGATCATCTTGCAGGGATCCCTCGTCCTACTCCTGAGTTTCTCCTCTCAGTCATGGCTCTTACCAAGTGCCTGTTGCCAGCAGTGCCTTTGGTCACCCAGGGAGTCTCATCACCTCTGCTGCAAGAGGAGATTAGACTGTTTTGGCAAATGGTTGTCAATGTGTCCAGGTATGAGTTGGATTCACTGAAAGGACCTGAACTTTTACATGATGGGTGCTAATTCCTGCTAATTGCCATCACCTCATAATTAAATTGGCAGAAATTTCACTCCAGGGGCAGGGCATATGAAAACCAGCAGGCTTAAAAGCAGCCTTCTAGAGAACTCTGAGATTGGGGAGTGCCAGATCAACAGGCTGTTTCTAGGCCTCAGTTCTTGGAAGGATTCAGAGGACACAGGGTATCACGGAGGAGTGCTGTTAGAAGCAGGACACAAGACCTGTGTATGCATAAGGAACCACTGTTTGCAGTGACCTGTACTGGGTACAGGAATAACAATGGAATAACATTGGGCTGGGTAGTTCCCAATTAGTATAATGCAAAAAGCAAATGCAAGGTGGTGTGCAGGCTAGAGGACATGATTTCAAGAATAATTAGCATCCCATCTACATCAGCAATTGGCAAACTATAGCATGTGGGTCAAAAGCAGTCCAGTTGTAACAGAGACCTACAGCCTACAAAATCTAAAATCTCCTTTACGTGACTGATTACAAAAAAAAAAAAGGTAACCAGTCCCTGTTTCAGATCATAAAAGAGAAAGGTTGGAAGTAAACCTGAAAGGAAATCAGGACAAAACAGCAGTTAAGGAGACCCCAACCTATTTCTGAAGCTCAGAAATGAAAGAATTTAACAGAGGAGATAAGGGTGGTGGGGGGAAACTGTGCACTCGGATTAAAATACACATGGATGAGGATATTTCTATAAAGGTGATTCTGAATCATCTAAAATTGAAGCTGGCAAATTACAGCCCAGCCATCAAACTTGGCCCACTACATGTTTTTTTTAATTGTAGTTTTATTGGAAGACAATAACACCCATTTGTTTATATATTTTCTATGGCTGTAGCATTAGTACAAAAACCTTTAATAACAAGCTAAGACATTTAACTCTTCATTTCTCCTCAAGCCCCCTCCTCTTCTGGTCTTTCCGAAAGGGTAAGCTCTGTGAACCAACATCGAGGGCTCTTTCTCTCCCTTCTAGGTGTACCTAGTGTTGTTTACCTATTCTGGCCACATTTCCAGTATTATCATTTTTATTGCCAGTAATCTGCAAGAGCAAGTGAGAGAAACTTTATCTTCAAGCAATATTTTGGCCTCATTATTACATGTGATATCCCAAATCATGGGTAACATAGTAGGGTTGAAATTTTAAGATTTAATCTACCCAAATTTCTCCTAACATATTGATTAAGGGATTAATGCTATGTTGCAAGGATGTCTCCAGTGACATGCCAAGGACCCTGCTGTGTTCAACACTTTTATCAAATGACTTTGGTAAAATCCCAGAGGGCAAATGTGCCAATTTTTGGGTGATACAAAAAAGTAAGAAGTACTTAGGTGAAGTTTTGGATACCAGAATTAGCATTCAAAAGGACCTCAGTGGAAGGGAACTCTGGGCCAAACTGAACAAGATGAAGAACTGGTTAGCAAATGGTAAAGCTGAGCCTTGAGGTTAAAAGAAAACCAGTTGTGCAGTCACAAGAAGTGATATAATTGTTTTGAGAGTAGTTTCTGTGGAAAAATCAAGGTTTAGGGGCCTTACTTCCTTGGTAAACATACTACTAAAAAAATAACTGGCCATCCTAGGATCACTTAGTATAAGAATGCTGCCACAGTTTGTAGTTTCTCCATGATGGACACTGGTCAATCCATGATTTCAGAAGGGTTTATGGTTCAAAGGACGACTCTTCAAGAGGACACTGGAAAAAAAAATCAGGAGTAGATCTGGGTTTGTAATTGAAAGGTCTTAGAACAAACTATATCATCTGAATTGAGATAGAAGGACCATGGTTAACTTGGAGAATACATTCTGTGAGGTTGTTATCACTAATGAGTTTCTGCGGTAATCCTAAATCTTACACAGGAATTGAAGAATTTCATGGGACATGAATTAGACTTTCAGTGGTAACATTGAGAAAGTCCAGGACAAACCAGGATGATTGGTCACCCTACACTGAGCTTCGCTATACTTACCTCCTATCCAGCAAATAGTTATACTTGTTTTTGCCTTAGTCTTATTAGCACTTACTGTTCCCTCTCCCATATTCTCTCTTCCCCTAAATTTTCACATAGTTACTTTGTGTCATTTTGGTCCCCACTCAAACATCACTTTCCTCAAAAGCAAATATCCATAATAACAATCTTGTTCCACTGCTCTTTCATATCATCCTCTTTTACTTTCATCTTAACAGTTATTACTATCTGAATTACTTTATTTGTTACTTGTTTTCTGTCTCATCCCCACAGAATAGAAGTTAAATAAGAAGGGAAGTCTTGTCTCTTTTGTTCATTGCTACATCCTCAGCAAATAGAACAGAACTGACACACAGTAAGAAATCAATAAATATGTGTTGAAGGATAAATGAATTAATTATTCTGGATGACCACGAAGCCTCGATTGAATCCTCCCACGTACACACCAAAAAGCTCTGAGGAAAAAATGTCCACAAGATAAGTAAAATTCAGTTACCTAGTAAACTTTCAGAGTAGGCCACACAGATCAGTATGCTATAGGGATTGGGTCTAGTAGACTCCGGTTATAAGGCAAGAAAGTTGCTGTCAATTAGGCCTTATGAGATTGCTAGATAAGTATTGTCTACACCCAGAAGAGCTGCGTCTGTGCCACTTGCATGCTCTGTGCTGTGTACTTAACATGAAAAAAGTCTGTTTTCATCTTAAATCTCTTGTGATTATCTGTCTCTGGTCAAACTATCATCAGAGACTTTAAGAAATTTGAAATTAAAAGATTCAGAGAAAATGTATCTATGTCCCCACAGCCAACTTCCCTTTTAGAAACATTGGCCATGGAATTTCTTTCTATTATGGACTCCTAAAGTATATGGTTATTTTCTCCCAAGATTCTGGTCCATTCCATCATAATTAAGTCCATAGCATCATTTCCCCTCAATGCTTCTTTAACCTTCTGAGAAATGAAATTGTCACTAAGGCAAATCCCAAATTTATCAGAGGCTCTGCTTTCAGAGGAATGAGACTTTTATCAGATGCCTGGACAGCTGAAGCCTTCCATTCCTACTGTAGCTTGCCTCTAATGCCAGTTCTGTAATCTTCATTAGGGAAGCATCAACCATGTCCTCTGTGAAATATTTTATGGATGGCACAGCAATTTCTCCCAATTTGTATGCTCCTGCAAATGTTCTCCATCTTATTCTCTTTCATATTCTGTGGATTTCCATCCAGGTTTAATATGTTTTTTTAATATTTGGGGGTGAGAAAGTCCCTAGAATAGAATCTTGAGGAATGAGTATCTCACATAGGCAGAACCTTACCATCAACCCTCTATGGAAGGAGTGACCCACAAATGCCCAGTAAGAAGTGAATATCTGGCTGAAAGTCCCCTCTCCTGTCGTCTTTCTACAGTTCTGTCAGTCAACACAATATTTTTTTTTGTACCAAGAAATTGACAAGTACAAATTCAGGGGAAAAAAAGATATTCAGGGCCAGATGGCCCCAAACAGTATCATTAAATGCAATATAAAAATACCTGAATGGAAGAATCCATTTAGTCAAAGTGACATCAAAAGCTTTTATTTCAGCATTTTTCAAGACTTTCCTCTGTGCAAGGAAATGCCAGAGAAAACAGAGGCAACTCAGATATGGTCACTAAATCCAGGGGCTTACAAACTCCAAAATGTACACTCAGCCTTACTTCCATGATATGGGGTCTAAATTCTTCGAGTTAAAAAAAAAAACTAAATAAAAATAAAACTTTACCTAACCTCTGTTATCCCACAATCATACTTGAAAGAGAACTGGATTGACCAACATAGCGTTATCATTTGCAGAACCCGGCAAACGCAAAAGTTATGCAATCATCCTACGTTGTACATCTTGTTCTCCAAAATTCCTCAATATGAATTCTTCATAGCACTACCTGAACATTTAACTTGCTAGCAGAAAAGAAAATAAATTAATGATGAACTGCTCAGAGAGAATGAAGTTTCTCTTTGAGGAAGACTGGCTGTGGTTCCCCAACACCACTATATTCAGTGACCAAAATCACTGCTATATGGAATGGTCACTGAAATTCTCATAAACCAGATTAGGAGGAAAGTGACCATTATATTAATGAGCTAAATATAGCAGAAACTTCTTCCTCCTTTGTCTTCTCTCTCTATTTGTATTAGACAAGGATACCTCCTAAATCCCCAAAGTGGAAACTATTCTTCAAGACTGAGGTCATGAATTTAAAACCAAATTTCCAAGGTTCCTTCTTGCATTTGAATTGTGCCTTCTTTTAACACTACTTAAATATTTTTGGTCGGTAAGTACACTATACATTTTTGGCAAACACCAATATTTTAAAAAAATATCTAGATGTATTCAGAAAGGACATCTCCTCAATTTATTTTTCTGTGGCTTGGAACAAAGTAACAGAATTTTGGACACTTTAAGAAGAAATTTCATTTTCATATTTGTGCAGGCAAAGAAAAATTGCATGTCATGAACTGGCATGAACTATATTATTATTATGTATGCTAGACAATGAATTTCTTTATTGTTTTTTGGACACCAACCTTTCATGGTAGCCTCATTACAAGACTTCTCTGTGTAAATAAAAGAAAAATACATTTAACAAGTAGAAATAAATGTGCATGATTCACCAGCACAGTTAACTCAAGATTTTCCAGCCTTATAACCACAACTGATAGGAAGATTTATTACCACAGCTGCTTGTATTAAACTTCTTTTCCTCGCAGTTGAAGGAATCAAATTTCTTCTTGGAGATTAGTCATTTGTGGGGGTGTTGCCAACTGCAAAATGCTTCTGTTATGAATGAGGTGCACTTCTCTGTTGCTGTCCTCCAGCCCTAAGTCAGTGAGTAATTTTCATCTTTTTATGTGTCTTTTCCCGCCTACCATCAGGAACAAATTTTAATGACTTACACAGTCAAACTTTCTTTAGTTGTTACTCAAACCTAAAACTTCAGATGGTATTGTTTCTAATAATGTGATAATATCGCAAGTAAAGGTGGGATGAAATGACATTTTGGCACATGTTTACAAGGATGAAATTCAAGCAGAAGGAAAGGTCTACATGGGATGTGAAACTGGGAATGGAGCTAACGTATCTTATGTAGCAAATAATTGTGCCTGGCACTGTGCTAGGTTCTCTATAGACATAATCTTATCTAATTCTTAGAACAATCCTGCAAGAAACCAGGTGATATTCCCACTAAATATATAAGGAAACTGACTTTCTCAAGATTGTGCAGCTTATTAGTGGCTGAACCACAATTTAGGCTTAGATTCCACTGACTCCCTCACTTTCTTTCTGTATTTTGACATTCTGCTTTTTGGGTATGAAGAATTACTCAATTATATGCAGCACTAATACAACAATACAGTATGGAGAGATTTGATTCTGTGTCTAAATAAGAAAATCCTACAGCCAAAATAGATTTCAATGGGTCATCTGTTTCACTCCCTACTGAAATCTCACAAAACTGACAAGGCTCTGTCTTTTCCTTCCTTCCTCCCTCCCTCCCTTTCTCAGTTCCTTTCTTTCTTTCTTGTTCATTTTCTTTCTTCCTTCCTTCCTTCCTTCCTTCCTTCCTTCCTTCCTTCCTTCCTTCCTTTCACACTTCTGGAAACATGCATTCCAAAATTTGACTTATGTCTCTTCCAAATTTCCAGTAACGATTGTCTTCATAAAATCCTTTTATCTAACACAATCTTCCCATCACCCTTTAAGCTCTTGTTTGTATTATACGGAGATGGTAGTATCTGAACATAGTAAGCTTCTGTCATTGAAGATATATGTCAGAACAATTGAACAAAGAGTGATGTTTTAGTAAATCCACAAGTTGCTTCATTTATTTCATGTCATTTTGGCTGGTGTTGTTTTTCCATTGACTTAAGTGATTGCTTTAGCTACATATACACTTTCTAATTTACCATCCATATGTGGTTTTAATATGACATGTAAGAAGCAAAAAAAAAAAGAGTTGAAAAGCAAATAAGCATTTCAAGCATTCACAATTATATCATTGAGCTTAAAGTTAAAAATTATTTGTTAATCAGTGAGCCAACTTAAATAAAGCTGTCTATAAATGTGCATTTTTGGTAGGGAGATGTAGATACTTGCCTCTTTTTTTTCTGGTCAAGAATAAAGGCAGTCATCTAGCTATGACCCTTTATGAAAGAAATAATTCTGTTTAACTCAATGACGGTCTTACTTGATCAAGTGTAAGTACCTCTAATGGGGATCTAACACAGTCCAAACAACTTAACCTCACAAGGTTCCATAAGATAGGAAAACGAAGAGAACCTGTATTTTCATCATTGGATACTTGAGCAGCTGAGTCTAACTCAGTAAAACAAATGACACATAACAATTAATCTGAAGTCTAGAGCATGAACTCTAACAGGCTACTGAGATGCTATTCCTCTTATTTCCTAATATAGGTTACATTACATTTTAACTTTCCCAGTACTTGAGATGACTAAATGGGCAGTCTAAAGACAGACAATGCCTCTGAGGTGACTGAATTCATCCTCGTTAAATTTTTCCAGTAACCTCAAACCCAGGCTCCCTTGTTGGGACTGCTGTTTTTCTACCTGGTCACAATGTTTGGGGATAACTTTATTGTTGTAGTGTGATGGGATTCTCAACTTCATATCCCCATGTATTTTTTTCCTCAGTAATTTATCCTTCCTTGATATCTGTTACTCCACCAGCTGGGAACCATATGTCTTGGCCCAATGCTTCAGGGACTTCCCCATTATTTTCTATACCAGCTGTTATGCCCAGATGACCACATCCCTCTTTCCAGGGATGACAGAATGTCTCTTCCATGCTGTCATGGTTTATGACAGGTTTGTTGCAATCTCCAATCCCCTGCATTACACCACCATTATGAATAATGAAGTTTGCATACAGTTGGCCTTGGGAATCTGGGCAAGTGCATTCTTAGTAGCAGTCTTACCATTCATTGCAATTCCTGCTTGTTATTATGGACAGAATGCCATCAGCCATTTTACCTGTGAGATCCAGGCCCCGCTGAAGCTCATCTGCTCAGACACTCCTGTCAGTCTGATTCTGGGTCTGGTTATCAGTGTGTTCATATTGACCTTGCCTTTCACTATCATCCTTATTTCCTACTTCCACATTGTGGTTATCGTGCTGAGGATCCATTCTGTAGAGGCCAGCCTCAAATCTTTCTTCATCTGTGGACCTTATCTAACTGTGGTCAACATATTTAATGGTATAGCCATCTACATGTACCTGAAACCTCAAAGAAATCTCAGGAAGAGGACAAATTCGTCTCAATATTTTTTTTAAATTTTTTTTAACGTTTATTTATTTTTGAGACAGAGAGATACAGAGCATGAACGGCGGAGGGTCAGAGAGAGGAAGACACAGAATCTGAAACAGGCTCCAGGCTCTGAGCTGTCAGCACAGAGCCCGATGCGGGGCTCGAACTCAGGGACCACGACTTCTCAATATTTTATGGAGCAGTTAGTCCCATGTTAATTCCCCTCACTTACACCCTAAGAAACAAGGGTGTAAGAGGTACACTGAGGAAGTTAGCCAAAGGAAATGAAAAATCCTAATGGCTCTCTTTAAATCTCTTCAATGTGCAGGAAAAACAATGAGAACTCAGTCTGTAAAATTTCAATTTTTTTTTTTAAAACAAACAACAACGGGGCAACTGGGTGGCTCAGTCGGTTGAGCGTCCAACTTCGGCTCGGTTCATGATCTCGCAGTTTGTGAATTTGAGCCCCGTGTCGGGCTCTGTGCTGACAGCCCAGAGCCTGGATCCTGCTCCGGATTCTGCCTCTCCTTCTCTCTCTGCCCCTCCCCCACTCACATTGTGTGTGTGTGTCTCTCTCTCCCTCCCTCTCTCTTTCACTCAAACATAAATAAAGATCAAAAAAATTTTTTAAACAAACAACAATAAAAATCTTACTGAACATTCTACTAGGTCCCTAGTAGACACACTCATTATCAAGTTTACCATAAATGGTAACATTTTGTCAAGTCACATTGTGACCTAAAGCCATGAATGTGCCCAAAATAGCTCAGAGAGAGAATAATAGTAAGAGATAGGTAAAGGTGGATGCTACAGCTGTAGTAGTCTATCAGGGACAGGTTCTTTTCTGAGGTATAAAGAGCCAGTTTTTTGTGACCAACCATCTTTGTACTTGCCACACAAGGATAAAATTCATATATAGCACACTGATTATACAACCATTGTATATTTTATAGGTGTCTACCCCAATTTGAACCTAATGGACAAATAATCCCTTAATTCCCACATTTAGGTGATAACTTCTCATAGCAAGAAGTATCTTTTGTATGTATAAAGCACTTTATCGCTTAAAAAGTGTTTTTAAATAAATTATTCTAATTTATACTTATAATTTCTTGTTTTAAAATAGTTTGCATGGGGGACTCGGCTTGTTGTGTTGCTGCCCGAGAACCAGAGACGGTCCTGCTTCGGCCGTGGGTCTTCCAGCCGCCCGACAATGTCGTCTCATTTAGTAGAACAGCCGCCGCCCCCCCCCCCACAACAACAACAACAACTGCGAAGAGGGTGAACAGCCGTTAGCCCCAACAGCCGGCCTCAACAGTTCCTGGGTGGAGCTCCCTATGAACAGCAGCAATGGCAATGATAATGGCAATGGGAAAAATGGGGGGCTAGAACACGTACCTTCCTCATCCTCTATCCACAATGGAGACATGGAAAAGATTCTTTTGGACGCACAACACAAATCAGGACAGAGTAGTTCAAGAGCCAGTTCTCACTGTGACAGCCCTTCCCCACAAGAAGATGGGCAGATTATGTTTGATGTGGAGATGCACACCAGCAGGGACCATAGCTCTCAGTCAGAAGAAGAGAAAGGAGAGAAGGAGAGAAAGAAGTTGATGCTTTGAAGAAAAGTGTAGACTGGGTGTCTGACTGGTCCAGTAGACCCGAAAACATTCCACCTAAGGAGTTCCACTTCAGACACCCCAAACGCTCCGTTTCCTTAAGCATGAGGAAAAGCGGGGCCATGAAGAAAGGGGGTATCTTCTCCGCAGAATTTCTTAAAGTGTTCATTCCGTCTCTCTTCCTCTCTCATGTTTTGGCTTTGGGGCTAGGCATCTATATTGGAAAGCGACTGAGCACACCTTCTGCCAGCACCTACTGAAGGAAAGAAAAGCCCCTGGACAAGCGTGTGACCTGTGAAGTGGTGTATTGTCACAATAGTTTATTTGAACTTGAGACCATTGTAAGCATGACCCAACCTACCACCCTATTTTTACATATCCAAGTTCCAGTAACTCTCAAATCCAGTATTTTATTCAAACTCTGTTGAGGCATTTTACTAACCTCATTCCCTTTTTGGCCTGTAAGACACTTTAGAATTTCCTAACAGAGTTTACTGTTATTTAGAAATTTGCAAGGGCTTCTTTTCCGCAAATGCCACCAGCAGATTATAATTTTGTCAACAATGCTATCGTCTCCTTTTAGTGCTACCAGACTTAGACCTGCATCATTCGTGGTATAAATTTTGCTCTTGCAAGATAACTACCATCTCTCTCTTCAAATGAGATCAGGTTAGCAAATGATATGACAGCTTTGTTGTTTCGTTTTTTTCAAGACAAAGGCAAGCTTCCCTAAGCTTGAATTTTTAGTTTTTAAAAAAAAAAAAAAAAAACCAAAAAAAAAAAAAAACAAGACACAAAAAAAAATATCCTGGGCAATAAAAAATTATTTTAAACAAAAAAAAATAGTTTGCATGTTATACATATTAATAAATCTTTTCTCAGTGAACATTGCTTCTACAAATATTAAATTTCTATCATATCAATTTCTTACAAAAACATCTAAACTGAAATTGTTATTCTTTTGCCTTCTCCTATTTCTCTGCCTTCTCTTCCATGATGTGCCTTAGCGACCCTCTGGTCATTTCTACTCCCACTTCTCATACACATTCATGACCTTTAGCATTTCTGTTCTACCCAAGCATCTTCAAGTCCAAGATTGTGATTATTTTTCTTTCTTCCCCATTTAATAAGATGCCATATGCACTTTCTATTATTGGCAATTAACATGTATTGTTCACTTTGTATTATGGTAATTTGTTGATTCTTTTTCTCATCTTAACTTTGACTCTGGAATTTTTCTGTCATAGCACATTGAGGAGGTGGTTATGTCTTGTTGCTAAAATTTACGTTCTTCCCACACTCTTTTCTTAGGTAGATGGTTATCTGGTCACATTATCTTCTACCCTTAGCCTTTCTCTTTACTTTCTGAAGGTTGATCATTGTGGGGTGTGTGTGTGTGTGTGTGTGTGTGTGTGTGTGTGTGTGTGTATAATTGATAACCTATACAAAAATTTTAGAATGGTTCCTGGCATATAGTAAGCATTCAATAAGTTGCTATTTTTTGAATTTTTTTTTCAACATTTATTTATTTTTGGGACAGAGAGAGACAGAGCATGAACGGGCGAGGGGCAGAGAGAGAGGGAGACACAGAATCGCAAACAGGCTCCAGGCTCTGAGCCATCAGCCCAGAGCCCGACGCGGGGCTCGAACTCACGGACCGTGAGATCGTGACCTGGTTGAAGTCGGACGCTTAACCGACTGCGCCACCCAGGCGCCCCATAAGTTGCTATTTTTTGAATAGCAAATTTTTTATAGGTTGCTAAGATATTATTGTGATTTTCTGAAAGTTTCCAAACACTCCTACTGTTTATTTTCCCAAGTCAATCTCCTTTATACATTCTCCACTCCACAGTGTATGACGAGAAGCCTCAGAACCCCATTTGCTAGTTTTAGAAACACAGTTATATCATATTTCTCTTTGGCTCTTGCTTTTATGGCTTTACTTTTAATCTGTTTAACTCCTATTCCAGTTCCTCTGACCTATGCTTGATATATTTTAAGTAGAGACAGCCCCAAACTTAGGAATGAGTTATGTTCAAAAGTTAACTCATAAGTCATCCGCTTGGAACTCAGAGCACGTTTTCCCCACAGAGACAGAGTAGCTACATTCCAAAGGCAGCTCACCAACACCTATTTAGGTCACCATTCTATCACTAATAATACTAAAAGCCCTGGGAACATTTTTAAAGTGTGTTTATTGGAAGATAGGTTTTGAGTCCACATTTGGATTCTAAAAACACAGGCACTGTTAGATGGTATTACTACTTCAAAAAAAAAAAAAAAGTCTTCCATGAGGATTAGTGCAACCACCCTCATGCCCTGATGAGTGTATGGGGAAATATCTACAAGATGTAAGAGTGGGGCTGAGGGAGCTTCTCTAGAGACTACAAAAGTAATAACTTTCTTCTATGTATGGGTCATGCACAATTCAGAGGGCTACTAGTCCTCCCTTCATTTCTCTTTATGTTATCACTGGTATTGGATGGCTTGCTAACACAATGCCTGGGGCTATTCATTTTACAAACATTTACTAAATGGCTACTGTATGTTAGGGCTACAAATCCAGGTAAGTTATTTGCTGCCTTTGAGAGATTCATAATGGAGTTGGGGAGTAAATAAGCACAGTGAAGTGCTGTCGATACTGTGATCCATATTTGTACAGGTTACAAAGTCGAGTTCTAAATAGACAATCAGGAAATATTTAATAGAGGAGATGACACCTTTAGTAGAGTCTTGAGAGAGATGTAGCTTGCCAGTTGGATAAGGGAGGACAATTATGGACGCAACATGAACAAGTACTGAGGTACAAAACCCAGCTTGGTGTACTTCCAGATACTGCCAACAATTTAATTCCCACAGCAGAAGGTGTGGGAAGTGTTTTGGCAATATATAAAACCCGCGAAGAAAGCAGTAGGCCAGATTATGGAGAGACTGCTATGCTATATTAAGGAGCTAGCACTTTATTTACTCTACAGGTCAACAAATTATGGCCCAAATGGCCAAATCCAGCTCTCGGTTTGCATAGCCCATGAGCTAAGATTGGTTTTTAAATTGTTACGTGATATAAGAAAAACAACAACAACAGCTAAGAAGCCTATTCAACAAAGACTGTGGGCAGCCTGCAAAGTCTAAAATATTTACTCTCTGTCCCTTTACAGAAAAAAGTTTGCTAAGCCCTGTTATAGGTGGTGAGAAACCATCAAAGATTTTTAAGCAGATCAGTAACATGTTCAGAATTGTGTTTTTAAAAGCTCACTTTTACAAAAAAATGTATAAAATTGATTGAAGAGGTATAAGATTGGACATAGAGTCAACTAGGAGGCTGTTAATAATCTGCGACTTGATGCAGAAATGAACTAAGAATGTAGCAAAAAAGATTTGGAAGAAACTTAGGTCATTGGAGTACCCCTTCCTTTTTCATTTTTACATGCAATTTCATTTACATTCAGTATGCATTTTCTCAGAAGCAGGGTCTTTAGCACAGATATAATAAAGGGTTTCAGGTGTTGGGTGATCTCATCATGAACGTCATTCACTTCTTTTCTAACATTCAAAGAACACATAGAGATATGGAGAGGGTAGGGTCCAAAGTCACATAGTTGTGTTTTATTCATATATGACAACCCCCTTCTCTGATCCAGAATAACTTTGTATGGCATATAAAATTGCATTTTGTTCAAATAAAACATGTTTATTTAAATATAATAAATGTCCTCTGGCTCCTTGCATGATTTCTAAAGTTCACTCCTCACCTGTTACTCCTTTAGACATACTGTTGCATTTCATGAATCATGAATAGTACTACTATGAGCCTCAAATTTTTTTCTATGAAATATTGTTATTCAACATAGTACTGGAAGTCCTACCCACAGCAATCATACATCAAAAAGAAATAAAAGGCATCGAAATCAGTAAAGAAGAAATAAAACTTTCACTATTTGCAGACGACGTGATACTCTATATAGAAAACCCAAAAGATTCCACCAAAAAACTGCTAGAACTAATAAATTCAGCAAAGTCACAGGATACAAAATCAATCTACAGAAATCTGTTGTATTTCTATACATCAATAATGAAGTAGCAGAAAGACAAATTATGAAAACAATCCCATTTATAACTGTAACAAAAATAATAAGACACCTAGGAATAAACCTAACCAAAGAGGTGAAAGATCTATACTCTGAGAACTATCAAACACTGATGTAAGAAAGTGAAGATGACACAAAGAAATGGAAAGACATGGATTGGAAGAACAAATATTGTTAAAATGTCTGTACTACCCAAAGCAATCTACACATTTAATGTAATCCTTATCCAAATACCAACAACATCTTTCACAGAACTAGAACATATGGAGCTACAAAAGACCCCAAATAGCCAAAGCAATCTTGAAAAAGAAAAGCAAAGCTGGAGGCATCACAATTTGGAAATTCAGGTTATATTACAAAGCTTTAATGATCAAGATAGTATGGTACTGGCACAAAAACAGACACATAGGTCAACAGAACAGAATAGAAAATTCAGAAATAAACCCACAATTTATGGTCAATTAACCTTTGACAAAGCAGTAAAGAATATACAATAGGAAAAAGTCTGTTCAACAACTGGTGCTAGGAAAACTTGACAGCAACATGCAAAAGAATGAAACTGGATCACTTTGTTACACCATACACAAAAATAAATTCAAAATGGATTAAAGACCCAAATATGAGACCTGAAATCATAAAACTCCTAGAAGCGAGCATAGGCAGTAATTTCTCTGACATTGGCCGTGGCACCTTTTTTCTAGATAGGTCCACTAGGGCAAGGGAAACAAAAACAAAAGTAAACTATTGGGACAAAATAAAAAGTTTTTGCACAGCAAGGGAAACAATCAACAAAACTAAAAGGCAACCTATGGAATGGGAGAAGATATTTGCAAATGACATATCTGATAAGGGTTAGTATCCAAAATATATGAAGAACTTAAAAAACTCAACATCCAAAAAGCAAGTAAGCCAATTAAAAATGGGCAGAAGACACAAACAGACATTGTTCCAAAGAAGACATACATGTGGCCCATCACTAATCATCAGAGAAATGCAAATTAAAACTACAATGAGATTGGGGCGCCTAGCTGGCTCAGTCGGTTAAGCGTCCGACTTCAGCTCAGGTCATGATCTCGCGGTTTGTGAGTTCGAGCACCATGTCAGGCTCTGTGCTGACAGCTTGGAGCCTGGAGCCTGGAGCCTGCTTCGGATTCTGTCTGTCTGTCTGTCTCTCTCCCTCTCTCTCTCTCTGCCTCTCCCCTGCTCACACTCTGTCTCTCTGTCTCTCAATAATAAATAAATGTTAAAAAAAAGCTGGGAAAAAAAACTACAATGAGATAGTACCTCACAACTGTCAGAATGGCTAAAATCAACAACACAGGAAACAACAGGTGTTGGTGAGGATGTGGAGAAAAAGGAACCCTCTTGCACTGCTGGTGGGAATGCAAACTGATGCAGCCACTGCGGAAAATAGCATGGATGTTCCTCAAAAAGTTAAAAATAGAACTACCCCATGATTCAGCAATTTAACTATTAGGTATTTACCCAAAGAACATATAAATATTAATTCAGAGGAATACATGCACCCATATGTTTATAGCAGCATTATTTACAATAGCAAAGATATATAATCAGCCCAAGTGTCCATTGATAGATGAATGGATAAAGAAGATGTGGTGTATATATACAATGGAAAATTATTTAGTCATAAAAAGAGTGAAATCTTGCCATTTGCAAGGACATGGACAGAGCTAGAAAGTATAATGCTAAGTGACATAAGTCAGTCAGAGAAAGACAAATACCATACGATTTCACTCATATGTGGAATTTAAGAAACCAAGCAAATGAGCAAAGGAAAAATAAAAGAGAGATAAAGAAACCAAGAAACACACTTAACTATAGAAAACAAACTGATGGTTACCAGAGGGGAGATAGGAGGGGATGAGTGAAATAGGTGATGGGGATTAAGGAATACACTTGTCCTGATGAGTACTGGGTGATTAAAATTAAAACTTTAAGAATATATATAGTTATTTTCCTGCAGGCCTTTTTCCCTCGGAGGAGGCCTGTAGGCAGCAGCCATGGCACCCAGCCCGAATGGCATGATGTTGAAGCCCCACTTCCATAAGGACTGGCAGTGGCATGGCCTCATGGTTCAACCAGCCAGCGGGGAAGATCTGCAGACTCAAGGTCGGGAAGCCAAAGCAAGGCCCAGAGCTTCCATGTCCAGACCCATCCAGCCCATCCCATGGTGCCCCCACAGTGAGGTATCACACCCAAGTGCAAGTTGGCAGGGGCTTCAGCATGGAAGGGCTATGGGTGGCTGGCCTACACAAGAAGGTGGCATGGACCATTGGAATCTCAGTGAGTCCAAGAAGGTGGAACATGTCCACAGAGTCCCTGCAGGCCAATGTGAAGTGGCTGAAGGAGTATGGCTCCAAGCTCATCCTCTTCCCCAGGAAGCCATCAGCCCCTAAGGAGGGAGATGGCTCTGCTGAAGAACTCAAATTGGCTACCCAGTTGACAGGACCAGTCATGCCCATGTGGAATGTCTGTAAGAAGGAGAAAGCCAGAGTCATTAGAGAGGAGAACTTCAAGGCATTCGCTGGTCTTCACGTGGTCCATGCCCATGCCTGGCTCTTTGGCATCTGGGCAAAAAGAGCCAAGGAAGCTGCAGAACAGGATGTTGAGAAGAAAAAAATAAAGTATCACTGGCAACTTGTGATTATGTACATGTATATGTATGGTTAATATGTAATGTTATATGTATATGTGATATATAATGTCATATGTATATATAATGTCATATGTATATGTAAAGTCATATATATGTGTGTGTGTGTGTGTGTGTATATATATATATATATATATATAAAATGTCAGTGACTTCCAGTTTATAAGTTTTTCTTTGCTCAAATATCATTCACTCTCTTTGTTTCATCATATTGGTGATTTCCTTATTCTATATACTATAGAAACCCACAGATATAATCATTCTGTCATATATCAGTATATAAAATCAGTATGTTGTAAACCTTCAACATACACAAGGCTATATTTCAATTATATCTCAATACAGAGGCAGGGGGGAGAAACCTAAAAATAAGTGTTTGCTCAGCTCATGCAAAAAAGTCCTAGAATAATAATATCTAAATTTTGTTCAAGATATTTTCACAAATATCATCTCATTTGATCTTCACAATAATGTGAAGTCACTTTACAGATGAGAAAGTCAAGGATCTGGAAGCTCAAAGATTCTCCCAAGGTTGCACAGCTGGTAAGTGGTAGAAGTGGGACTAACACCCATCTCTGACCCCAAAGCGTGTAGATTTTGCACTGCGCCACATCCATAACAGAAGCAGATACAGATTTTCTCAACATCTTTTTCATGATGCTCACTCACACTTGAGCTGTGAAGTCTGTGGCTGAGTCATTCTTTCCTTTTCTGCTCGCTTTTGTGTGCCCCTGTGTTAGCCCATTCCTGCATTACAGCTCCACAAATGACCCTCATAAACTGACTTCAAGTCACCTTAGCTTATCTGTCTATAATCTCTCAAACACATGACAACTATCTTCCCTTCTTGCACCTGAGAAAATGTCAGTAGCCTTGCTTGATTTTGTTTCTTCCCTATATTACCCAGACTCTCTCAGTCTATTGCAGACGTTTGTCATTTGCTCTTTGATTTTCTCTATTTCTGTTCTAATTTCTTTATTCATTTTCTGTGCTCTCCATTAGTTTGTTCTAAAATTGAAAATATATTTTTCTCTTCAAAGCATTTGGCTTCATTTCTTTCCTTGAGAGCTTTCTTCAAATTATTTTTTCATCTGTACCAATCCTCTCTGACAGCTTGAAATGAAAGCTGGGCTTCTCTCCCCTTGACCATTCCTCATCATTTTCAATGCCTTTTCTTTACTTATATGAATTTGCTCATCTCCCATTTACCTCTGCCAAATTTCCAAGCTTTTAAGAAATTAATTTCAGCTATTACCATTGCATGATCAGAAAAAGTGCTATCTTTCATTTTATACATCGGACCTCTACTCTCTCTTGCATATAAATCCTGTCAACCCTACTGGATCACTTCCCTTTTATGTGAGCATTCTGCAAAGTGTTAGCATACGCTTCCAAATTATCTTTCAAGTCTACGTTTTTACACACAATTTTCTAAGTATTCAGCTCCACTGGTCAATTTCCAATTATCTCTAGCCCTATTCCCTTTTCTGAGATGTAACTGAAATGTTCCTCTTCTCCAAAACCACTCTACTTTATGAAGAATGAAGAAAGGGCACCAAATCCTTAATTTACAAATCCAAGCTGTTCTTCTGTCTGACATCCTCCATCATGCCTTCCAATTCAGATCTCCTATCTTTGAGACATTTACATGATGATATTTTACCAAAAATCCTCTGTTGTAGTATCTTTCTCCTTTTCAATAACAGAAAAACTCCAACAAACCATGTCATATGAATAATGGACTAGTACTATAAGCAAGCAACAGCATGTTGCGGAGATAGAGTAATTGGATAAATTATTTGTGGGTAAGAAAAATATGGATTATTTCTATGACAGATGAATTTGAGGTAGGTTTGGAAGCATAACTAAAATTTTAATAAGCAAAGTGTGGTATGGGAAACAATCATGTCATATTCATTCCAAATGGCAAGAAAAACTGCACCAAAGTGTAAATGCTTGTCATAGGGTGTATTTCAGAATGGCTGTTCCCATTGGCTGAAAGATAGTTTGCTAGTGTTATAAATTAAGGACAGATATCATATGTTTTCACTCATATGTGGATCTTGAGAAACTTAACAGAAGACCAGTGGGGGAAGGGAAGGGGAAAAAAATAGTTACAGACAGAGAGGGAGGGAGGCAAACCATAAGAGACTCTTAAATACAGAGAACAAACTGAGGGTTGATAGGGGGTGGGGGAGAGGGGAAAATGGGTGATGGGCATTGAGGAAGGCATTTGTTGGGATGAGCACTGGGTATTGTATGTAAGCCAATTTGACAATAAATTATATTATAAATAAATAAATAACTAAATAAATAAATAAATAAATAAAATAGTAGGAAAAAAAGAAAGATAAAGTGGGGCACATTCTAGAGCATACTGTTAGCCTTAGAAGTTCAGTTTTATCCTATAGTAAAGAATAAACCATTGGAAGTTTTTTAAATGGTGGTAACATAATAGACTCTCAAATCTTTACTGAAAGAGTGAATGAGTGAATCAAAGATAAATCCAAATGTTTTATTTGGGTTACTAGGAAGAGAGCAAAAGTCTTAACAAGGGAAAGAAAGAAGGGTACCTGCTGGCTTTGGTCAAAACCAAACATAATTGGATATAACTGAATGTACGTTGCTTGAGAGCCATTCAATCGAGCTGTTCATCAAATATATGGATATGCAGGGTTGACAGGCTAAACACACAGATAAAAATTGGAAGTCCACCACACAGAAATGAGAGTTAAAACTGTAGAGGTGAGTGAAATCACCAAACACTAAGTCAGAGGAAAGATCAGAAGGAGTATTCATGGAGAATACCCACACTTATGGAGTAGGGAGAGAAAGAAGCAAGTTAAGGAGAAAAAGCATTGTATGAGAGTAAGAAAAAGAATCCAGAGGCCGAAATATTATTGAAGCCAAAGAGATAAGGAATTTAAAGGAAGGAGGTGTTTACCAATGCTGAATGTTTCCAAGATACAGAGGAGGATGAGTTTTTTTTTTCTTAATATGAAATTTGTTGTCAAATTGGTTTCCATACAACACCCAGTGCTCATCCCAACAGGTGCCCTCAGAGGAGGATGAGTTCTAAGAAGCATTAAGTATGACAATTAGGAAGTCATCATAAATCTTTAAATAAGATATTTCAATAGACTGGAAGGTGCAGGAGCTAGATGGTAGGTGTGAAAATGTAGAAGCAGCAATTGTAGGCTACTCTTTAGGGAAGGCTGGTAATAAAAGAAAGGTAAGAAATGAGACAGCTCATGAATTTATCAGGATGAAAGGATGAAAGTTCTTAGAACTGGAGAATCCACTGTATGATTTTAGGCATAAGGAAAGGAGTTTGGTACAAAGTAGGATATACACATGCACACACATGTGTGTACATATATGGACATATGTGTGTATTTAGAGGGAGAGAAAGGCAAGGAGAGTGGGAGGGAGAAAGGGGAAGGGAAGGAAAGAAGTAAAGGAAGCAGGGAGGGGAATAAAAATATAGGGTAAAAATGACAGCATGGAAAGTGAGGATAACTACTGAAGCAAGATCCAGAAAAATCAAGAAGAGGTGGAATCAGTTAACCATGTACATGCAGTAATTAGCTCTGACAAGAAGGCAGGTGGGAGCTTCTTCCTCAGAGGTAGAAAAAAAGGATAGGTTCCAATACAGAAAAGAGTTAAAGTTAAGGGAGAAAAAGAAACAAATAGACATTCCTCTCTGACCAATTTGAATTTCTATTACCCATTTCTCTATTCCCACTACTTCCAAGTCTTGGACTCCATCTTCAGGGAACCTGTAGTATTTACTTTCGTGCACTGCAGATGTTTTACGTAGCAAACCAACATTGTCTTTTTCTTTCAGCAAACACTAGTTTACCCCACCTGTTTTTTGCTGTCCTTCTGTTTTATTATTTTCCTTTACTCCTTTCTCTATCCCTACCTGATGTCCATTTTTATTCTTTACCTCAACATAAACGCATGATCCGCATATATTCGTTCCTGAATCTCTCCTTTTCATAGACTTTTCCTGAGTAGTGAAGATTATGACTAGTGATTGCTATGTTTTTAAAAAGGTTGAACTGTGATAGAAAGTGATATCCAGAGAAGGGATAGGATAGTGGGGAAAAAACTGGAACATATTTGTAGGATAAGAGTCAACAGAAAAGGAAGTGAGGTACTAAAAACAAAACAAAACAAAGAAATTGATTCTAGAGCAAGTGGAAGGAAATGAAATCCAGAGCACAGATAGAAGGACTTTTCATTAAAAAATGAGGATACTTTTCCACTGAAGCAGGAGGTAAAGAGTCAGTGATGGGTCACATGCATATGTGTTTGTAGGAGGAAGGAAAAGACCTCTATTCTCTGGAATAGTAGGGACGCCAAGTACTAAAAATGAAGGTAGAAGTGATAAAGTAAAAGATGGGAGGAGGCTCATAGAGGTTCCAACAAGCTATTGTGGGAAATGGAGGAGAGACTACACTAGGAAAACATCAGATTATCATACAGCATGGAGGGTCAAAGACAGCTTGAGATCCATAAATATTAAGAAGCACAAATCCACATAGTTGTGATATCTCATCTTAGCAATACTTAGCAGCCTACATGTAGGAAAACATGGCCTGAATAAGGCCTAAGTGTAGAAAAAGAGTTGAATTAATTCAGGTGAAACTAAGATAGAGATGGATTCCAATGTCCCAAGAGAGTATGCTGTGCTTGAAAAACGACAGGGGTTTGTTATGGCTGAAAGCATAGTATATGAAGCTGGAAAATTTTCATCAGGAACCTAATTATTGGTGTTCTCAATTCCTTTGGCAATGGGGATTTATTGAAGTGTTTTCAGCATGAGAATGACTTGATCAGCCCTGTATTTTGAAAATATCACTAGGGAATATGTGTGGAGGGTAGACTTGGAAGAGATATTGGAGGCACAGAGGCTATTTAAGAAGTCATTTCAACAGTATAGATGAGAAGACCTACACAGAAGTGGGCATGGAGAAGAGGAAATGGATTAGAGAGATGTACAGAGACATTT